GGCTCAAACTCTTTGGGGGACACCAAGGCAGGGAGATCAGGATCTGTCCCTGGTCTATGGGCAGGCTTCTGGAATCCAGTGCCTGTGGTGTGACACCTTACATAGTCTTGGTGCAGTGGGAAGAGGGTTGGACCTGCCTAGGCTCACTGTGCTGGGCTCTGCTGACTCCCCATGGGAGACCTCGATTTGGGAGATTTGGGGTTGCGGGGTGGCTTGGGAAAGAGGGCTTAAGGGTGGGAGGATTAGGAAGGGGGTTGTGGATAGTATGTGGAGTGAGTAGAAAACTTAATAAAGAAAAATGAAAAAAAAGAAATAAAATTCAATCTAGAAATCATTCAAACAATTCCTAATAATTAAATTTTATAACTAAAATAGAATCAATTGAGACAATTTTGTGGCTTGGTGTGTTTGCGGGGTCCCTGGCAGTGGGATCAGGATCTACCCCTGGTGCATGAGTTGGCTTTATGGAGCCCATTATCTATGGTCAGACAAGCTTGTTTATGCTTGATGCAGGAGGGGAGGGGTTTGGTCCTGCCTCAACTGAATGTATCAGGCTTTGCTGCCTCTCCAGGGGAGTTCCTACCCTTTTGGAAGAGGGGGTGGGGGTGGGTTGGGAGGGGAGGCTGTGGGGCAGCGGGAAGAAGGATAAGAGGGGGATCTATGGTTGGTATGTAAAATGAATAAAAAAATTTCTTAAATAAATAAAAAAATAGAGAACTATGTTTAAAAATCTTTAAACTACATAAATGCCAAGAAATCTATATTGTTAAGTAAATGTTTATTACTTAACTAATAATTTATACAACTTCAAATGTATTTTTGCTATCATAACACTATCATTTAATTTATATATAATTTTATATACATTCAATATATAAAAACTTTATAATTTATATATATATATATGGTAAAATTACATGTCATATCTCAGGTTGCACTGATGCAGTGGTAAACAAACCAGACAATGTCATCTGCATGGTGATTTTCAGAGGAAAAGAATCAATCTAGGCTGGGCGGTGGTGGTGCACCCTTTAATCCCAGCACTCGGGAGGCAGAGCCAGGCGGATCTCTGTAAGTTCGAGGCCAGCCTGGGCTACCAAGTGAGTTCCAGGAAAGGCGCAAAGCTACACACAGAGAAACCCTGTCTCGAAAAAAACCAAAAAAAAAAAAAAAAAAAAAAAAAAGTATCAATCAATAATGAAGCCACCTCAGTGAGATAAACACAGACACCAATAAAATTAATTCTTAGTGAATTTATGTTCCTTAAAAGTAAAAAATGGGTAAAGGTACATGCCACCAAACCTGACCATGTGAGTTCAATACCCAGAACACAGTTTTAATGGAGAGAACTGACTCCTACAAGTTGTCCTATAACCACCACATGGATTGCCATGACATGTGTGTCCTTCACACACAAACAAAATAAAAATGTAATTTTTAAGTGAAAGATGGACAACATGCCAGAATAATCAAATGGACTAGTAGTAGTAATGATCAAAGATTCTCTGTGACAACAGAGTGAAAGACTTCAAAGATCAATTCTTCCCAGTTGTAGTCTCTCCCCAAACCCTTCCATTCTCCGTTCCCACACATAAATCCAAGAGGGCTGGAGATTGTATGTTGGGCAAGCATTCAACCACTGAACTGCATCCCCAACCCTCTCACCAGTATTCTGCCTCATTATGCATACAATAATTGTGTGGGGGAGATACATATTTCTATATCTGAGATTTTAATGATGTGGGTTTTTTTGGGTTTTTGTTTTTAAGAATGAGTCTCACTATATAACCTTATATGGCCTGGCACTGACTATGGAGATCAGGCTGGCATTGAACTCAGAGATTGATCTACCTTTGCCTTCCTAGTTCTGAGATTAAATGTATGTGACAGCACAATAGTATTTCCCATATCTGGCTAGCATGTATTACTTCTATATCTGGTTGAAACTTTTGAACCTCCTTCAAAATCTATCTCAAAAGCACATACAAAATGAAATTTCTCCCTCCCTGGTTAAATATCACAAAGGTTATACATTCATTAAAAGCCCAAAGCACTGTGTACCTTTCCCATGGTACAAAGATATGATGCTTATCAAAAGTATGATTTTTTTTTTTGTTAAATTCATTTCTTTACTGTATGTGTGCTCATACAAGTGTGCTACATGGAAGTAAGAGGAAAATTTGTGGTAGTTTGTTCTAGTAATAATCATAGAATTCTATGGCCATCAAGATGTCTCAGTAGATAAAGGCAGTTGCCTCAGAAGTCTGAGGACCTGAGTTCCATTCCTGGAACCAACTCTACAAAGTTGTCCTAGACCACCACACAGAAACTATATGGCACATGCATGCTCACTCAAACACAGACTTATGTACACACACACACATATGCTAATAAAGTTTCTTAATAGTTTGAATGATAAGGTACTCAATCTATAATGAAAGTCTTACAATATCAATAAGATATAAAAGAATGAAAGTTTACTAGCACTTTTAAAAAATTCAAAATTAAATTTAAAATTTACAATTGCTATGGAGTATCAATCAGAAAGTTCTGCACTAAAAATATAGAAGGAAAGACTCCTCCTCATCTGCTTACTAAGCCAAATATGTGCGCGTGCGTGCGCGTGTGCACACACACACACACACACACAATTTACCTTTATGACTCATCAGCTAAATTCATCCAAAGACTGTTTCCATTCACAACCATGCAAGGAACTGAGACAGCTGTTTTTGATTGCTCTTTGAGGTTTGTCAGAATGGGGGATTTTATTGCTGTCATTCTAAGATTGAGCTTTACTCTAAGACTCCACAGGACGAGAAAAGAAAAGCAGGAGTTGGGGCACAGTCAGTTTCAAGAGACTTTTAGATGACTTTTAACCTTTAGATGATCCTTCTGCCTCCACTTTTAGAAGCAGGTATATAATGTCACCACACCAGGTTTATGAGTACTGGTGACTAAATTTATGGTCTCATGCATGCTAGGCAAACATTCCACCAACTGCGCTACACCCCTAGTTGCAGGTTAAGGTTTTTATCTAGGACATCAAACGCCATACAACAAAAACTAACTGTGATGGTTTTTTAAAAATCCACAAATTCTTTAATAGTCTTCTCTTCAAGAAATGAAATTTTTCTGGGTTTGGTAGCATATAGCTATAATCCCAGAATTGGGGAGATTCAAACAGGAGGAGTGCAAATTCAGTGTCAGTCTAGGCTTTATACTGACAGCCTATCTTCCTGTCTCAAAAACAAAAGTAAAATCTCATTCTCTTCTCCAGTATAAGCTGCACCTACTCAGTTTCTCTGGAAGAAGCCAACTGCCACTATCTGAACATTCAGGGAACATTGCCAAAGAAGAAGCAGAAAGAATGTAGGATCAAGAAGATAGAGAAGAAACAAATATATGCCATCCACTAGAAAGGACACAGACATTTTAATCATGAACTAACTGCAGCTATGGCTAGCTACTCTCGGTCTGCATTGACCCTTTCAACTGCAAGTCAAGGATGGGGAATCTACTGGCTAGTGATGGATTTTGGAAAGAGGGCATCATTAACTTAGGATGTATACTGGTGAGCTTATCAGACTCTATTGGATATTTATAAGCCCATGATTGCTCAGACATCCCAGATTAAACTCAGCAGGTCACAAAACAAAACAAAAAGGCATGAACATGGAAAAGGGACCTATAGGAGGAGAGGGGAATAAAAAAGGTATTAGGGAGATAAAAAGGAGGTAAAGTACAAGAATACATTAAATACATGCATGAAATTTTCAAAGAACAAAATTAATAAAAAGAACAAATATTGAACTCTAAAAGTACATATACATGCAAAAGTACTTAAGAGAAAAGGACCAATGTCTGCAATTTACTCTGAAGTGTATTTTTAAATACGTGTGAGTGAAGCCAAGTGGCACACACCTCCCAGCACTTGGAGGCAGAAGCAAGATGATCTCTATGAGTTCTATGGTAGCCTGGTCTATAAAGTGAGTTCCAGAACAGACAGAGCTACACAAAGAAACCCTGTCTCAACTCCTTCCACCCATCCACCCACCCACCTCCCCGCAAAAAAAAAAAAAAAAAAGTAGTGTGTGAGTGGATAGCAAGACTGGTGTCTGAT